AGTATAAGGGATTTCCATATTCCCTGCAAAGACTGCATTTACTATTTATCATATCACACCAGTAATCAGGCTGTCATTTCACCTTAAGTCTTAAACACAAGTTAATTAACCACAGTACAGGCATTACACAGCCTTCACCATTTTGCACTAGTATATCCCAGGACTTGTTTATTTATTAAGAGTATGCAATATTTTCCCATTTGAAGATTAACAAGGATCTTTTTTGTCTTTTCTACAACCTGCTTCCTTACACTTGCACTCTTCATTAGTACTAATAGAATGGATAATAAGGGAAGGAAGAAAGTATAATTTATATTATTCAACTGATATACTAATAATTTTCTGTAAGAGATGAATGTGACAGAAATTGAAATAAATGGCCCAAAACATTATCTCTCTTTCACCTCAGAGATGATCAAAGCCAGATGCACTATTCTCCTTATGGTAATAATTTCACATAAATTACTCACAGATCTCAATGAGTAAGTCTTCTTCATAAGCTAAAATGTAGTATAAGACAAAACACAAAACAAAATAAAAATGACACTGACCTAAAGAAATTTATATTCTAATAATTATAACCTACACAGCCCATGAGCTGAAAGGCAAAATGAATTTATTAAAATGTAATTACACTAGGGAAATGTGATGGATATAATAGCTCATATTGACCTTTGGACTGAATATGAACTGAATTGATGGGACTCAGTTATCTCTGTAGAGAATACATAGTTATAAACTCTACTTTTTAGAAACCTTTAAAGCACCTATGGATATATTAAGGTTTTAGCTGTTCTGATTAAGGGGAATAAATGATGTTACATGTACATAATAATAAGAAAGTAAAATATCACTGGACATGATCTGCTTTCAGTTATCAGTAAGGGGCAGGAATGGTAAACTCTCCCAAAACTCAGAAGAAAAACTTAAAACTGAGCACTGAGATTTCTTACTATCATTGAAAAGAATGAAAAGGTAGTAAAGGGTATATCTAATGGGAGGATCAGAAAATTAGAGCAAAAATCATAAGACCAGGGAAAAGATGTTTAATTAGAGGGTAAAACTGAGTAAACTATTTTCAAAAGCATAAAATCTGGGCTGAGAAATATTTGTCTGATCTTTTTTTTGATGATTTTATACCTCATTAGTGTGATACTGACCATAATCCATTCATATTTGCTCATGCATATCTTATACATATCTTTTTATAAATCTTCCATACAACTCACATTAAGTAGCCAATTTCCCTCCCCCTCTCCAAGTATACATGCCAATGCCTCCTTTCCCTTTTTTCTTCTTGGCTGGATACTAAACCTCTATCTCCATCCTCACCAGAAAAAAAAACCCTAAATTCCTTATCAGAGAGAACCCAGAATCCCTTGCCAGACAGAACCGAGAATCCCTGCTCCACTACCTCCCCCTTTCCAGTAATGGTAGATTACTCTCTGCTCTAGGCACCTCACCCTGTAGAACAGACACTCTGATATATCCCAGGGACACCTGGGCCCTGCAATATACTTTGTTGCTGAATTCTTAGGACTTCTGGACCTTTCCATTCATGCTGCAGCTCAACCTTTCCATGTGTATTGTCTCTCCAAATAGTGTAATCTTTTTCGACAGCAGGACCTTTAGGTATACTTGCGTCATCCATAATTAGTACAATGGGTGGCACATGGGAAATTTTGACAAATTTTTTTCATTCCTTCATCATTCATTCATTCAGTCAAAAAGGACTGCCCAACATGCTAGAGTCCTGTCTTTAAGATGATTCACATCTCTCAGATACTAGTACCATCATTAGACTGCCCATTTATCATCCCTCACTCTCAACAGCATGGACAGCCCACTTCCTTTTTCCAGTCATACACTCCCTTCATGATGTCTTTTACATCATTTCTTGTGGACAAGTTACCACTGGTAAACCTCTACACAAATCATGAGATTTGTTAATTAATATCTTGTCTCAGCTACGATTGCAAAGAATGAGATGATGGTCTCTCCAACTATGAAAAAAATACAGAATACAGAATTCCACAAGTCAGAAAAATATTGCTAAGGCCACCTCTCAGTAGCTTGGCTGTTCATATAACTATCCAGTATTTTCTTTTAGCCAAAAGCCCCTGGAAAAGCTAACCTACCCTTCATGGAGGAGACTAAATGAAGTCTCTTTTGTTCTTCTAACAGAGAAGAATAAAGTCCATCTTTCCCACATTAGAGAGAAGCCCTTCACCTTTCCAGTGTCATTATCTAAAAATGGGCTTGAAGTTACAATGAAGATATTAGATGAAAAAGCAAGTTCCCCATGGTCCCAGTATAAGTTCAAAGTAATTCCCAATATAGCATGAGTAGAATCTAATTAAACTGAAAAAATTAAAAATTAAAAATAAAATAAATGCCAAGTTACATGAAATGGCATATTTTATGTCACTTTAAAAACTTGCTGTTTATTTTCCTCAAACCTGAAGCATCCCTGGTTTCCAACAGCAATACGATTCCACTTTTTTTAGCAACTTTAAAGGTAACACTTGAAGGGTCATTAACAACTCTTCATGAAAACTTCTGCAGTTAACTTCAATTTAACAAACTATGTGGAGTTTAAGCACTATGTGAAAGGCAGTGTCCTAGGGGATGGGGATGGTGAGACAAAAATAAAACAATCCCTTCCCTCAAGGACAGCTAGGTGGTACGGTGGCTTGTAATCAGGAAAACCTCTTCCAAATTCAAATTCCACCTCAGATACTTGCTCTCTGGGTGACCCTAGGCCAGGTCACTTCACCCTGTTTGCCTCAGTTTCCTCATCTGTAAAATGAGGGGGAGAAAGAAATGGCAAAACACGCCAGTAGCTTTGCCAAGAAAACCCCAAATGGTGTCACGAAGAGTTGGAAATGACTGAACAACAAACAACAACACCCTCAAGAAGTTTATACTCTGTTCTGGTTCCCTGTGACTTTTCCCTCACTCCTTGCAACCAGGTGTTCTTCCTCATGGTTACTGCCTCATTATTCTCTATGCTGCTGGGGAGCCTATAAATAGTCAGTCAGCAAATATTTATTAGATGCCTACTATGTGCCAGGTAATGTGCTAAGTGCTGGGGATACAAAGAAAGGCAAAAGACAGCCCCTGCTCTCAAATAACTCACAGTATTAGAGCAAGTGATAAGGTTAACTAACAGTAAGGACAAAGAGGGGGGACTCTGTGAAGTTGTCTTTAAATTACAGAATTTAAACTTCTAACACTATCCTTCCTAGATCCACAATTTGTATAACCTCTGAAGTGACAGTATTATCTCCATCAATATGCAGTTTTCCCTACCTTCTCAGTACAGGAGATCACAGTTATAGTAGTTTATCTAGGAGTATGCCAGTAAAGTTAGCAACTGGATCTTCCCCAAAAACTGTACACATGATACACTTTTCAATTTTATTTGCATTAACATCTTCTCCATCACTTCTTAAATCTAGACAGTCAACAAAACAATAAAGTGGGCCCTGATCTGTAGCATCTGCTAATTCACAAGGTATAAATGCTTGATAATTTAACCATAAGCTTGAGCAGGTCAGCCAGCACAGTCCTTGGTCATATTTAAATTTCATATTTGCCTTGAGTTCTTTGGGAAGAAAAGAAAGAAAGAAAGAAAGAAAGAAAGAAAGAAAGAAAGAAAGAAAGAAAGAAAGAAAGAAAGAAAGAAAGAAAGAAAGAAAGAAAGAAAGAAAGAAAGAAAGAAAGAAAGAAAGAAAGGGAGAAATGGAAGGACAAATGGAGGGAGAGAGAGGGAGAAATGGAAGGACAAATGGAGCGAGGGAAACAAAGAAGGAGAGAAGAAAGAAGGGAAGGAAGGAAAAGAAGGAAGGATAGGAGGGGGGAAGGAGGAAGAAAGAAAGGGGAGAAGGAAGAAAGAAAGAAAAAAAGAGAGAAGAAAGACAGGAAGATAGAGGGAAGGAAGGAGGAAAGGAAGGAAGGAAAGAAAGAAGGATTAGCACTCTCCTCCCAAGTAGAATCATGAGGGGAGGAAAGAAATTCCTTTTGTTGATACCTAAAGGAAAACAGTTCTTGTCTTTTGCATAAGTTCTCATCTCCTTGCATAAGACTTGTTAGAAATTTTTCATGATGACTAGTTTTTCATATTTTTTTGGTTCTATTAAGAATTTTTAAATTGAACCAAATTTCTACTCCAATGCTCTATTGTGGTTTGGAGGTGGCCATGGACTCTTGAAGGTTTCCTCGGAAAAGCTTCATTTATAGTCTCAGGATATATTTTGTCCTAGGAGTAGCCTAGATAAATTCAGAAAGGCTCATCATGAGTATGTTGGCCAACAGGTGATGATTTGTTTTTAACGGTAGCAATTCTTCAAAAACATATACTAAGGTATGGAAAGATCACAGTATCCATAGATGGAGGGATTATTCACACAATGACATTACAAATGTTTTAACTATTAAAAAAATCATTAAATGAAATCATTAAAGCATCAAAGGGCTGGTCAATTTTTGAAGTTTTCAGATGAGACAAATAATTGAGCCTGTTACTGGAAATAGAGATATTTTCAGTAGTGCATACTGTTTATACTATTTATACAGGAATTTCAGAGAAAATTGTCTTTTTATCTCCTCCATAGTTTCCATTTTTTAAAACTTGTTGCATGGTGCCAAGAAAAGAAAACTGGATTTGGAGTCAGAAAACCTGGACTCACATCCTGGCTCAGACACTCCCTATATGACCTTGCGGAAGTTGCTTTCCCAATCTCAGTTTCCTCATGTGGAGTGGGAGAGAACTACATTATATATTATCTCTAAAGTCCTTTCCACCTTGGAAATCCTATTATCCTATGTTCCTTCTTCTTAATTTCTAGGGGCCAGATGTCAACCAAAGGTCTTCACAATCTAACGAGGAGACTTTCCTGAGGGTATTCTTTTCCATGGGCAATTAAAAAAAAAAAACATACTCTACAATGTGTTATACTAAGAGACGATATTTAGTCTACATAGAGCAGCTTACTTACGTCTGGGGCTCCTTTTCATTTTGTTGTTTGTGTTGTGGTTGAAGAACGTTATTTACCAGCTCAGTGATCCCACTAAAGGGAAACCACCTGTTTAAATAAGCAAATAATGTGACTAAATTACCAAATCAATAACACTCTGTGGTCAAATGTTTTCTTATCCAATCACAACAAAAAAAAGAGAGAGACAGGCGGGGAGAAAGCTACAGCCAATGGGAGTGTGAGCTGCGATCATCTGTCAGCCAATTAGAGTAGAGAGAAATAAAGGTTTGACACTTCACCAATCCACAAGCAGGCAGCAAGAAACCACATCCAGCCACTATCGTGGATGAAGTAAGAAGCTACAGGCAGCTAGCTGTCTTACAAGCCAGTCGAGAAAGCAGCAAATGACACACTAGCTGCAGTCTACCAAGTATTAGTGTTAAGCTAATACCGTTAGAGGGGCGGGAAGCAGAGTGGGACAGAGGGCGAGGAAGTCTACTGCACTCTTGGTTTACTTACTGCGTCGCCTGGGGTTTGGGTTCTTCTTTGGCCCTAAAAAGATAAGTTTGCACAGCTGAGTGCAGTGGAACTAAAAAACCATCGTCTTTCTACACATCTACGGTCTATCTATGCAATATTGGACAAATAAAATAAGATCTGGCCTTCCCTAAGGGCAGATTCACTCCCTAGGAGCTCAGAGAGAGATTGGGCATGAGATTCCTTCTTTTCATTTCACACCTAAAATTGAAGCTGTCTAGTTGGCTATTTTAAAAGCACTAAGATAGAAGTGCTGCTGAAATTATAAAGCAGCAGGGTCCATACCTTTCAAGCTCTCTGCGTGTTATTTTTTTATCTATACTGTCACATGGAAAGTACTAAGCTACTAAAAAAAATTTAAAAATTTATAAATAAAATGTATTGAAGGTAAAGATAGCTTTTATTTTAGAAAGGGAGGGGAAATGGTTCTTTAGGAAAGCTTTCTGTAGTGCTTAGCAAAATATTTTTTGTTAAATTAATGTGATTTCATGATAAATAAAAATCTTAAGTAATAATTGTAAAAGAAAAAAAAAGCTTTCAAGTAGTCCTGAGAAGTGGGAAACCACCTGTTTAAATAAGCAAATAATGTGACTAAATAACCAAATCAATAATACTCTGTGGTCAAATGTTTTCTTATCCAATCACAACAAAAAAAGAGAGAGAGGGCAGGGATAAAGCTACAGCCAATGGGAGTGTGAGCTGCGATCATCTGACAGCCAATTAGAGTAGAGAGAAATTTCTTTTTTTATGGGGTGTTTACAATACCTTATTGTGAAATTTGGGTTAAGTATTTAGTCATAGGTTTCCTGTCATCTGCTGACCTTCAATTTTCATCTGTGGCTTCTACAAAACTCCCAAAAAATTCCCATTTAATTTCTTATATGATTTGGGATATATGGAAACTGCCATGGGGAAAGCTGTGATGTGGAAGGGATAACTGTAGAGGATAGAGTGCCTGAGTCAGGAAGAACTGGGTTCAAATCAGACCTAGCTGTGTGACTTTAAACAGTCATCTCACCTAGCTGATCCTCAGGAAACTCCCTAAAACGTGTCCAGTAGGTTAAATATGAAATGTTTTCTTGGTTAATATTTTATATATTGATGTAATTCTCTTCCTCTATTGCTTTTATTCACCATTTATTTCTTACCCATCTATATAAATAAGATAAGAACATAAGTATTATATCAAAAATTAAAGGTTTTCTTCTCATATAAACCCTAAAGATGAATTTGTCTCCTGCTTAATAATAACATAAAAAGAAACATGTTGGGGGTCTGTGATGGATGTAGCTTATCTTTGGTTCAAGCTTATGATTTCATCATGGGGACGAACTCCCAATGTGAAAACTCCCTCTACCATTACAGATCTCCAACTTGCCTGTAACTTAGAAACCTAGAAAGTTTTCTGGAACATTAAAAGTTTATGTCACACAGCTAGGATGTGTCAGAAGCAGAAATAGAACTGAGGTCACCTTGACTTCAAAGTCAGCCATCTATCCAATAAACCATGTTACAAATATCAATTTCCTTTCACAAATAACTTCATAGAAGAGCCATAGGTATTAAATCATAGATTCATTTTAGATAAAATGAAATTGTAACCTTACTCTGTAAAACCTAACAAATAAAATTAAACTCTAATCAGCTTAGTTTTTTACTCCCAACTTCACAGGGTACAATTTGTGCCCTGGGAGAGGTAAGCAGCTATTTGTTCTATCATTTTAGCTCTGGGCCTACATGAAGTCTGGTATGAAGTGGCTAGAGCTTGCCCTAGTTTATCTTCACCTTCGTCCACCCAAGAGGCACATTCTTGGCAATTTATATCTTAGAGAGTTGGCAGTGGGTGGTTAAGTGACTTGCCTGGGGTCATACAGTCATGTACAGATCTTCAACCATTTCCCCTTCCAAATTAATTTTATCTTCAATTCATATTATTAGATAACTTATCCCTGCTCACACAGCTAATAAGTGTCAGAAACAGGACTTGAATCCAGGTCTTCTTGACTGAAAAGTTGGCTCCCTATCCAATAAGCCATGATGCCTCTTGGATGGGGGGAAGATAAAGATAAACTCAGGGCAAGGTCTAGCCACTTCATACCAGAGGGAACTTCCTACTTTCTATAGCTGTTCCCCCATACCTGAAACATGCTTCTTCCTACACTCCAACTACTAACCGCACTGGCTTCCTTTAAGTCCCAACTAACTTCACACTTTCTACAGGAAGCCTTCCCCAAGCTGTCTTAATTCTGGTGCCTTCCCTCTGCTAGTTATTTCCTATTTATCCTGTGTTGTATATAGCTTGCTTCATACATATTTGTTTGCATGTAGTTTCCTCCATTAGATTATAAACTCCTTTAGGGCTAGGACTGTCTTTTGCCTCTTTTTGTATCCCCAGTGCTTAGCACAGTGCCTGGCATTGTGGTGCTTTACAAATGTTTATTTAATGAATGAACACCAAATAAATTACAGGTCTAGACCTTATCCTTTACCTTCTCGGATACATAATACATAAGCTTCTGATTTCAAATACAAACCGTAGGGAAGGTACCCTTCATCTGAGGAGTCTCTCTTTCTATCCAGCCACTTACAAAGCCCTTCTCACAAAGAAATCTAGCTGCCTCAAGTCCCCTCTGGCCACTTTACCTTTTGAACTTGTAGCCTTTTCTAGTCTCTGCCAAGGACTTTGCCTGACCCTTCACAAGCCTTTCAATCTCATCAGAAATTTTACATCCTTAGGTTCTGTGAAGTCCTCTATGTGGGTGTTTCCTTGACTAAAGCAGTGTTCAATCACTTAAAAGACTTTATAAAGGATCTTCAAGAGCTGTTGGGGCCAAAAAAGAAACCTCAACTTGTCTTCTTATACTTTACTCTCCATCATATACTTTGCAGTCCTGAGACACTGTTCCTCCCACAAGACACTCCATCTCCCCCACATCATGCCTCTGCACTGGTTGCCCCCTATGCCTAGAATGTTTGCCCTCCTCATCTACTTCTCCTGGCTTCTCTGGCTTCCTTCAAGTTCCTTCAGCTAAAATCCCACCTTCTACAAGAAGACTGTCTCGCTCCCCCACCCCTTTAATGCCTTCCCTCTTTATTTACCTTGAATATATCTTGTATGTAATGTACATAGTTGTTCGCCCATTATCTCCCCCATTAGATTGTAAACTCTTTGAGGGAAGGGAATATTTTTGCCTAGTGCTTAGAACAGTGCCTGGATTAATAAAGTGCTTAATAAATAAATGCTTATTGACTGACTGACCTTGGCCAAGCTGGTGATAAAGAATAATACAAAAGACGCAGTTGGTTTTGTATAAATCCTCAGAATTCCCAAGTTGGAAGGGACCTTAGAAGCCTTCCAGTCCAAATCATAATTCCCTCTACTGCATGCCCAACTTTGGCTGGAAGACCTCTAGCAAAGGGTAACTCACAACCTCCCAAAGCAGCCCTTCTCCCTTTGGAAGTTTTTCCTTCCACCAACTCAATTTAGCTTTTTGTAACTTCCAGTCATCACCCCTAATTCTGTTCTCTGGCTCTACACAGAAGACATCTGTTTTTACTTACAGATGACAATCTTTCAAATATTTGAATGTAACTATTCATCAAGACCTCCACACCGTCCCCAGCATAGTGCGTGCGCGCACACACACACACACACACCCCAACTCCATCCCTTTGAAATCATCCATTCTAGCTTGGCAAGATCTGTCAGAGCTTGAACTCCACTATCATAGCCTTCAAGAACCCAGGGCGACCGTTATGTCATGAGAAGGCATTGGAATTTTTACTATTTTTAAAAAGCTTTTACCTTCAATAACTATTTCATTTCTTTTGTGTCTGGCTTTTTTTTTAACGTTAAATAGAAAATAGGAAGCAGCAATGTAAAAGGGCCATCCTACTGTCTGCCTGTAACTGAAAAATAAAATGGCATCCCAATGCTATATTTGCTCAGCCCAGTTAGTCCTTAGAGACTCTTTTTAGTGTCTCAAGTCATTCCCATGGAGAATGTAATCTCCAATGTTAATATCTCTACTCCACAGGTTTAATTTTAGAAAATATCAAGTGATCTTGCATTTTCCTACAAAGTTTTTTGGAAGCAGACTGAGCCCTAATAAAGTTATATGAAACTCTTATCACATTCTGCCCATTGGATAAAACCAAATAAATAATTTGCCTGCCAATTTGTCAACTAGCTTTTATTAAGCACTGGACACTGTGCTAAATACTAAGGATACAAAGGAAGGAAAGAAAAAAAGTGCATAGCCTCAAGGAGCTCATAGTCTAAGGGTAGAGACAACACGCAGCTATGTACAAAACAGATGGATATACAGGATAAACTGGATATAATCTCAGGGGAAGGCAATAAGATCAAGAAAGACTTGGAAAGGTTTCTTGCAGAAGCTGAGCCCTTGAAGTGAGACTTGAAGGAAGTTAGGAAAGCTATGAGGAGGGAGAGAGTTCTAGGCACTAGGGATAGCCAGCTAGAACATTCCAAGTCAGGAAATGGAGCATCATGGCCAAAGAACAGAAGGAAGTTCAGCAAGGGTCCAGGGTCACTGGATCACAAAGTATGTAAAGTAGAAGAAGACTGAAAAGGAAGGAGGCGCCAGGTTATGAAGACCTTTAAAAGCCAGAGGATTTTGTATTTGACCCTACGGTAATGGGAAGGTGGTAGAGATTATTGAATGATAAGGAGCATGACCTGGTCAGACCTGCCTTTTAGGGCGATCAGTTTGCAGCTGAGTAGATGAATTAGCGTGGGAAGATACCTGGGGCCCCATAAAGCAAGGGCTTTAATACAATTCACCTTTTGCTCAATTTGTCCCAATTTCCTTCCTTCATCATGAAAACCAGTGGAGAAGTTGTCAAGGGTTGGAATCATCATCCAAGGGGTGCCTGTCAGTTATTTCAATTTCACAGTGGCACAGCCTATAATCATTTGTGATAACCAAGCACTGGCAAATACTTCAGAGCCCCATCCCCCAAAACAGGGAACCTGCAATATGCACTGACCACAC